AACCCAACAAGGTTATGCAGGATTTCAATGGTCCCTAAGGGGTTAGGGTTCACCCTAACCATGCTGAACCCAACAAGGTTATGCAGGATTTCAATGGTTCCTAGGGGGTTAGGGTTCACCCTAACCATGCTGAACCCATCAAGGTTATGCAGGATTTCAATAGTCCCTGCCTAACCATGCTGAACCCAACAAGGTTATACAAGATTTCAGTGGTCCTCAGGGGTTAAGGTTAATGGTTCATTAGTTATTGAACTCAAACTGTTTCTATGTGTACACTGTCAGCAAATAAAACATGGAATCGTTAAACACTGTGACTTGGACTTTGATGTGTTGAAGTGATTTGAATGTATTTTTATGCCTGTTTTGTTTAACATTATAATTCAAATGAGCTTCTTGACGAACCACATAAATTTTTTAAGTGTGACTAGTTTGGCTTTATAAAAGGTAGTCCCAAATCCGGAACTAAATGCACTCTATCATTGAATGGTACTGTTTTTAAAATGAAATTTCTTGGACAGAAAGGATGGCATTAATTCAATTAATGTTAAACTGATTCATGCCAAATTACATGCCTTACGTGTACATGTCCTTTTCCCCAACATAAGTTATTATACAAACACTCTCAAAGAAAACGTCAAATTGCCCAGAGAAAATCACTGTGGGCAGACTCCTGTGGGTTTTCTGAGCACATGTACATGTACATGTATGTTCTACCGGTACTTAGAACGTCCTGGAGATGTAACACTCTTCACATCTGCCTTTAAACCTAGGCACTCAAATTTCTTCACCATCGACCAGATGCATGTCCTACAGGATACCGTTATCATTATGCATGAAGAGCACTGAATCAATACTGAAGTGCAACATGAAAGCTTCGGACTGAGTGAACTTAAAATTATGACTGAGAGCCAAACCCAGTGACGTGTCCATTACATGGGTAGGCCTTTACCAGGTTATGGGGGAAATTTCTTTTGTGAGGCAAATGTGGACCAAGTTGTGGGGACGTGCAAGTACATTGCTGAGTCCCCATAACATTTTGGTCCCACAAACTAGGTGAAATGTCCCGCGTTCCTCTCTACAGAATAAGTACTTTCACAACCCACACCAGCACAAAATACCGGTACGTATACATGTACCTGCAAGTAATATCAATATTTCTGGGGAAAAAACCTTTATAATTCATGCCTTTCTGAGCAAATGAGCACACACAGAGCCAGCATCTACACATAAACTCAGACTTAAATGTAAGGATCAGTCTATAAATTAGGAGTCCAATTTTTGGCATGTTCCTGTCACATCTGACATGTGATTTTGTAAGTTCAGAACACATTATCTACTTTCCAAGAGTGATGAATTAATGGAAATTACCTGCCAAACAAATAGAAACAGTTCAAAATCAATTTCGGTGATATTTCCATGTCAAATTACACAGGTCAGGTGTAACAGAGACACAAAAAGTAACATTTGTGGACCCTTAATTTATATTATGACCCTTAACCCAAACATACATGTCTGTCCGAGTAGTCCTGCATCCTCCAACTGTTGAAGGGATTCATCAGAACAGTGGGGGTTCAATCCAAAAGGCATGTTTTCAGGCAAAATGTGACTGGCACTTGCACGTATCTTATTTTTTGACAAGACCTCTATTAGTATTTGGGTCATTCCATGAAGTTGGGGCACAGTTTGTGACGGCGTCCCTTGTTACATCGGTATCTTTTATTGCCCATTATTTCCACATTACAACAGAGTAAGTCATTATTATTCGGCAAAGATGAAGCACACCACTACAAGAACCTAGCAAGATTTAGAACAATGTCAATTTAGAATCCACATGCAGGGAAAAAAGATGTTTATTTTCACTGATGTAACAAGGGACGCTGTCACAAACTGTGCCCGAACTTCATGGAATGACCCATTTGTAAAAACACTCTCGGAAGGTTTCTGGGCAGCCGTAATAAACTGAACAAGTGACATTACGATCCGTTTCTATATCAAAACTTGGTAAACATCTGGGTAAGTGTCCCACATGTGCACACATATCAACCGACAATGTAACCTTAGGTACAAAGACCCTCTGAATCTTGCTCTAAACAGTGAACTCTACCTCCCTTTACACTGCTCTTCAAGATTTACTTAAACTATTGTACATGTACATGAGCAAGCAACACTCTGAATCCAACGTTTAACATGAATAAGGCACCTTCCATTCATCTACTTCTAGCAATCAAGTATCCGCAAACAACAACCAAATAAATCATTCATACATGTACATGCATCAGTATTTGTTATGCACTACGCGCAAAGATCAAACACAGGGATACCGCTTCACAGTGATGCTGAGGTATCCAATTGTTTATCTTTTGACATTTGCAGTGCCAATCGACTTTCAAATCATCTCGGTTTCTAGACCAAGGGAAAAGCCCGGCAGGGTCTACTGGCATATGGGCCATCCTGTAAATCTGGGGTCCAACGTTTGACATGTCCCTGTCATTTCTGACATCCATAATTTTGCAAATTTAAAGCACACTCTTTGATTTCCAAGAGTGATGCAGTACTGGCACATTCCACAGGTGACAAAAACCAGAAAATGCCATACATGTACATGTACTTATCCCTCCCGACATCTATCAAATGACCAGTCAGTAGATATGGACTTCGCTCGCTACATGTAGTTGCTTAGACAGCACTGCTTCAGGCACACACATCCAAGTGTGTAT